TATAAATCAAAATTGTTAGCTCTCCCAAAATCTCCCCTCAAAACACAGAAAAGGGTTTCCTATAACACTTAGAGTCCAATTCTCTCTCAACCTGCCCTACAAAGTTGCACATCGCTACCTTTCCTACCACTTCTCCTTTGCTTCGCTCTGCTGTATCATTGTGAATTTGTAGCTAGCCCTCACAGTATCCATGTTGTTATTGCCTTGAATGGTTATTCCTGCTTGTCCCTCTGCCTAAGTTCTTCCTAAAATTCTTTGCCTGACTGGCTTTTCCACATTATCCTGACTCCACGTCATCCCCTCAAGGAAGGTTTCCTGTCATCTGTCTGAGGTGTGAGGGAAGAGGATTTATTTATGTTGTTCACTTCTGTGTTCCCTCAGCCCTGAGGCTTTCAGTAGGTATTTCTTGAAGGAAATGACCATGTCCTGCTACCTTTTACATGAGATCCTGTTATGGTTGTATCAACTTTAAGATATAAGATGCAAGGTAATTATAGATCTGTAGGACACTAGTGGTTGATTTGAAGAGTGTGTAGTAAAATGACTTACGTAAGTAAGGGGGTTGGGAAACCTTAAGACATAGTGTGATAGTGGGATGGTATCATTGAGGGACAAAGATAGTGGGGTGCTGTTGCCACCCTAAGAGCCAAGCAGAGAGAGCTGCATGGACATAGTTATTATGAGGAATTAAGACACTCAGACAGAGGATGCAGCCCACCCACTGGCAACTGCTTACCTCTTTTTGGCCTTATTATTTTTGTTTTCTTCAGACTGTTATATGAATGGAATAATTCAGGACCAAGCCATTTGAGCCTTTTTTCCTTCACTACACATAAAGCCCTTGAGATTCATCTACATTGTTGCATGTCTGAGTCATTTTTCATTTGTGTTATAAGTATTCCAGTGTATGATTGCACCCCAATTAGCTTATCTGTTCACTAGTTGCTGGACATTTGAGCTATCTCTTGTTTTTCACTGTTAGAAAATAGACATACTATAACATTCACATACAACTATTTTAGTGGATATCTTTGCTTCTTTTGGAAAAATATTTCTGAATGGGATTGATGAGATATATGGTGTAACTTGAAAAGGAAATGCCACATTACTTTCCAAAGTGGTGCTGCCATTTTGCATTTCTGTTAGCACCAGCTGAGGTGTTCCATATCCTTGGAAAAACTGTACTGTCAGGATTTATTTTCCTATTCTAATAGATATGCAGTATTATTTCATTGTGGTTTTATGTGTTTTCCTAGTGACCAATGATGTTGGCCAGTTGCCAGTGGTAGATTTTCTTGCATGAAATATTTCTTCTGTTTTTTTTTTTTTTTTTTGCCTGGTTTTAATAAGGTAGGTTGTTTTTCTTACTGAATTATAAAAATTATTCTGGGCATCAGTGTTTTATCAGATGTGTATTGTGTTATGCGTTTTCTCCCAGCCTATCACTTGTTTAAAACATTCTTTAAAAAAAGATTTACTTATTTATGCATACAGAACTGGGGTATAGGCCAGAGGTGCAGGGTGAGAGGATTCATCAGAAACAAAGTGGGGAGCCAAACAGGCCGACTGATGAAGTACACTGCTGAGGGGAGCAGCAAGCAGGTCATAAGAGGTCTGCCACACCATGTGGGTCACCCCCCCCGGCCAAAGTTGAACTCATGTTGACGTACCTGCAGATAGCTTCATAGTGCTTTGCTTTAACCTACTGTGCCACCAGGGAGGCCCCCAAATTTTGTAATTTTCCATACACAGATCTATGTATAATTCTATAAGATTTGTATACAAGTATTATGGCACTGTTTCATATGATAATTTTTTAAAATTCAGCTTATAATTGTTTATTGTTGACAAATAGAAACAGAATTGATTTTTGAAATGTTAACTGACTTGTGACCTTGCCAAACTCACTTGTTAAATCCAGTATGTCTTTGCATATTTTGGGGACTTTCAACCTGTATAGGCAAGTCATTTGCAAATGGATTTTTATTTTTTCCTTTTCAATCTGTAGGTCTTTAATTTTCTTTCTTGCTTTGTTTCGGTGACTACAACCATCAGTACATTTAAAAATGTATAATAGCTTTTTATTGAGACATAGTACACACAACATATAATTCATCCGTTTAAAGCATAGATTTTCCTGTTTTTAGTGTATTCACAATATTGTGCAATTATCAACCCGGTCATTTACAGAACATTTTTATCACTCTCAAAAGAAACCCCATACCATTAGCAGTCACTCCTGCTTCCCCTCGAATGCTCGGCTCTGGGAAACCAGCAATTTTTTCTCTGCTTTTATAAATTTGTCTATTCTGGACATTTCACAACAATGGAATGATACTAACCTTTTGCCAGATGTGTGTTCTGCAAATATCATCTTCCAATCACTAGAATGTATTTTGTTTTGATGCAAGTTTCTTTAATTGGGCAAAAGATTTTTTATTCATTTAATATTTATTTAGAATTTAATTTATAATTCTAAAAGGGGAGAAATAAATTGGGAAAAAACAAAGCCACAACTCTTTTCCTTATTGAACTTTCTGAAAAATTCTGGTAACAAAACACACATACACAAATTCACCACAGGTATTCTTTGAAAATAAAAAATACCAAGTTCATTTTAAGTAAGTATTTAGAAGTGATAGGATAGGGCCAGGAGAAAATGTGAGGACATGTAAAAAGTAATTTTATCTTGTTTAATTTTGAGTTTGCCTACCACTTCTTTATTTGAACAATTATCTTCTGTTTGATACCCATCTGTACTCACAGTGAAACTTTTTGAATGTGGCTTCTACATAAAAAGATTTGCAGTTTTGATTAATTTTCAGATCTTCCCACAAACTCTCTGTGTGAAGAAATATCTTTGAAATAATTTGAGTGAATCCTTTACAAATCAAAACTATACTAACACATGCTTTTTACCATCATCTCCAATTTTAACAAATCTGAATAGCTTCTGTATCAGTTTTCTTGATTATAAAATATAAATAATACAGAGGTATTTTTAACACAGCAGAACATTTAGTTACAACTGTCCCTCCCCCCTTTTTAAAATAAGATAACACTGTATATGTTCTACCAATATAATAGTCATACCTCACAAATACATGTTTCCAACCACACCTACCCCCAAACACCAATAGTCTTCCATCACACCGTCCAGTGGAACTCTTCCACCTGGTACCCAAATCCCCACTTCCCTCTGAGAGTCTCAGTTCTGAGGTCATAATCCTAGATTTTACTTGGTTTAATGTTGTTTGTCCCTTTGCTTGATGTATATTCTGCATGTGAATGAAATAAACCGATAATTTATTTTTCTCCTTCTGGCTCTTAGTTAAGCATAATCCCTTCAAGTTCTAACCATGTAGCCACCATGGCAAGAGTTCTTTTTTTCCTCACAGCTCAGTAGAATCCCATTGTGTATCCACAATGCTGGGTCAGGTACCACAGTCAGGCTTCTCAACATATAGACCAAATGGATGCCCCCTATTCTGTCCCTCTAACTTGGAATGAAGTCTTGTCCCTTGTCCATATTGAAGGTGAAGTCCCATACTGATAAGAACATAATTGCAACACATTGAGTTGAAAGATGGAGTCTTAGTAGAAGAGTTAAGGGAATTTGGATTGGCATAAATTCACGAGAATATTTTCCTCCATTAAACTGTTATTTTTCTCTTCCTGCTCAGATACCTAACTCTGTAGATGGATTTGTGATGTTTTTCTGTAGGCACATCATTCCACCTGAAGATGAGGTGACTGAAATGTGGCGACTCAGGTGATCCTTCTAACAGCCATCATTTGATTCCCTGCTTTGGTTCCTTCACAAATACGATGGTCAAACAATCAGCTTGTCCAAGAAATCCCACTAGCAGCTGCTATGCTGAATCTATCTTTATTAGAACAGAGTAAAACAGCCTCAAGTGTGAGTGTCATGAGACATTAGAACAGTTCTAAAGATCGCTCCTAGTTGTGCCTTACTATACCAAAAAAGACATGAGACAATTGAAGAGTATTAGGTTTCTAGAGATAGTGTGTTTCCCTGATAAGAGTTGCTAATTTTATATTCCCTGTAACAATTAACTTTCCTTAAGTGTCCCCAACAGAGATTTTTTTGGGGGATAGGTGGAGAGAAGAGCTCTCAAATCCCACACTGAATTTTATCAACCAGCAAGTACATTTGCACTGCTGGTTATTATGTTATACCTCTATGGGCTATTATCTACCAAGAAAAATAGCACTCAGTCCTCTCTGTATATAGTTTTACTTAGCAGCTCTGTACCTAGGAAATAACCTAAATTTTTTTTTTAAATTTATTTATTTGTACAGAACTGGGTTACAGGCCAGAGATGCGGAGGGTGGGAGGATTCACCAGAGACAGAGTGGGGTGCAGAACAAGCAGATCGACTAAGTACACTGCTGAGAGGAGCAGGGGTCAGGAGAGGTCTGCCATGCCATGTGGATCTCCTCCGGGGCAGGCGGGGATCGAACTCATGCGGAAGTGGCTTAAGCTTCTTAGTGCAGTGCTTTACCCCTCTGTGTCACCTGGGAGGGCCATGAATAACCTAAATCTTTATCCTCAGTCTACCCTTATTTTTCTCAGATGACCATTTGAACAGATTTCTCTAACTCTGATAGGTCTCATTCATCTATAGTATTCTATGTTACCGTTGCATAATATTTATTTTAATTTTGAGTTTTGGGTTCCTGGGGTACAGCATAACTCTCTGTTGTCAGGTGACATTTTGGAGCCAGGTTTCTCTATTCCTAAAAGACCTCACCATACCGTATAATATGTAGTATGAACCTATTGGTCTGTGCAATTTTGGCAGGTAGCAAGCATCACATTTGTTCACACAGGGATGACACCAGACTACCTGGACTTGTTGACCATGAAATCATGAGTACTTTAAATGTTTTGGTAGGACACAAAAGTAAGGAACCAGTTATAATGCCTTTTATATCTTAATTATTTTTAAATGTTTATTATTAGTTTTTATTACACAAGTAATACATATTCATTGTAGAAAAATTAGAAAACACAGAAAAGAAAAAAAAAATAATCACCTATAATCCCACTACCCATAAATTACTATTAACGATTTAGTGTATGTCCTTCTAGCTTTCTTATGCATATATATACATACATAGATATATTTATATATAATTTTCTTTTTTACAAATATTTTGTCATACTATACATACAGTTTTATAACATGTATTTTTATTTAATATATATTGTTAACATTGTTTATTCCCTGAAAAAATTACACAGGTACTACATGCTCATTATGGAAGAATTGGAAATTACAGATATGCAAAAAGAAAATATGATTGCTCCCATTCTCAACTCCCAGAAATAAGTACTATTAACATTTTAGGAAATAGCATATCAGACTTAATGCACACATGTATATGTATATTTCTAAAATGGGATCATATTAAGATATCCTTCTATAACTTCCCTTTTTCATTTAATAATATAGTTCATTCCTTTCAATAAATGTACACATGGTGCTTGTTATAATTAGCACCCAGTATTTCATTGAAAAGCTATCCCATTTCTAACCAACCTATAATGTAGGCTCACTTACACTTTTCTGCTCCTCCAACTAATGTTGCCATAAACATTCTTCTTGCCTATTTTTCAAAATAATGAATGAACTCACTTTAGTTCTTCTTTTTCTGACCTGTCAGAGGAGAATTTCTCTACAGAGGAATTACTTGGCATGCATGAAAATATATTGCCAAAATATTTCCCAGAAAGGTCAAATCAATTTATACTCTTTGTTGATTCTAAAAGAAAATATTCATTCCATGCATCCTTACTGTCCTCAGGAACTTTTATTTTTAATATTCTCTCACTTTTTGATATGTAAATAGGAGTATATAATAACAATTTGCATTTTTATTAATAGAGTAGTTGATACTTTATATTAATTATTAGTGTATTATATGCATGGCAGTTCATGTTCTTAGCTCAGTTTTCTCAGTTTGATTTTTTTTGAGTCATAAAATATTTTGTTTATGCATTCATTATTCACTCAACTCACTAAACATGTTTTTAGGGTTTAACTTAGTATCTAAGTTAACTTAGTATCTAAGTTAGGTGTGGGGGGGGTACAGTAGTAAGCAAAATAGACATAGCTGCTTCCTTCTTGAACTTTTAATTTATTGGGGATAAACAGACAAAGAAGCAGTAATGAAAAAATTCAGTAAGCAAAGAATGAAGGGTAACATTTCCTAAAGATAGTGGAATTTAAACTCTTGATATTGACCTTTAATTAAGTTTGTTACTTTTTGCTGTATAGGTGTTTGCATTTTTAATGAATCAGAAACAGTCATCTTCTCCTTTGTGGTTTCTTTCACCGTTGTCGTGCATTGAAAGAAATTTTTCTCCCATACAATATTTGCTTACAGATTCATCAACATTGACTGATAGTCCTTTTGCATGTTTATTTGTGGGATTTAATATGTAAATATTTACATTGCCTGTAATTTATTTTGATAAGAGTTATGAAGTATAGAACTAACATTTCCCCAACTATATAATTATCCCAATATAACTTAATTACTAATCCAACCATGTAATGACATCTTTTATAATGTATTCAACTCTTCTATGTGCTTGGGTTTATTTCTGGACTTTATATTTCATTCCAGAGATCTGTGCTACTTGCATAGTTCCCAGAAAGTTGAGCATTTGGCATTGGTGACATTCTAGAGCACAAAGAAAGGACAGGCATTGTTTAGGTACATTGTATGAGGGTGGGAAGTTTAGGGTGGATGAGGTCCATAATCCTTTCAGCTTTGAGACTTTTGAGTCTGAAATTTTACATGGGCTCATTGTTAAAATGACCCATTTGTTTACAGTTTTAAATAAATTAGATAATCGTACATGATATGTTTTTTACTCTAACAGCAATACTGTAGATGGCAGTATTGCCAAACAGTGATAAGTATCCCAACTGATGTAGGAGCATCTAAGAAAAAAAAAATATCTGCAAGATTTTAGAATTTCCCCAAGAGCCATCATTCATTGGAGGAGTCATCAGGGCTCAACTTTTTATGAAGTCTTCTTGCTACCACTGAAAAATGGAACAACCAGAAATTGTCAGTAAATTTGCTACTAGCTATATGCAAAATATTATAGAGGGGAGGTTTGCTTTTTGACCTTCACCTTCTTGGGACTTTCTTTGTATTATTAATCCAAACATGCATTGCATGGATTGACTTAAAAACCTGGAAATACAGTTTTAAACAATGTGATTGTGGCAGAACTCAGGTGATCTTTATTTTCTTTATACCCTCTTGCTCTTTTTCAGATCTCCCACAAAGAACATGTATTACTTCTGTAGTCTGAAAAAAAAATCATAGGGCATTAAAATATGATAATAAAATAAAAATGTATATGTCAGGAAAAGTTTATGTCCTTTTCTGCTTCAAGCACATGGGTTCACACAGCAAAATGGGTTCCACAGTCTCTCCTTATCGCTCCTTATCAGTTCAATGCTACTGCCAATCTGAAAGCAAATCACTATCCGGAAGTTAAGACGGTAGAACTGCTTCTTATGGAACTGCACCTGAGAAAGTCCTTTTGGTAGGTGAGAGGAGTGGGGATCAGGTCCTCAAGAGATGTATTGGCATGTCTAATGGGAGATGATGGATTACCCATCCCATTACTATGAGCCTGAGTAATTAGGACTTTGAGCACTACATTTAATTTTAGGACCTACTAGTGATCGAAGCTCTATAACTCTTGGAGTGTGTCCATGGGAACTACAAAATTGATCAAAGATTGGGAAACAGGCACTACAAATACAATATAAGGTGAATGAATTATCTATCTATATGGAAAGCTTGGCTAGGGAATTAGTCATATTCCCATTTCCATAATAGTTACTACAGCCCTCCCAGACATGGAGGTGAGACCTGAATTTATTAACAGTCTTCAGTCATACAAAGGACTATTGCACAGAAGGTAATTGTTACTTTCACACTGAGACTAAGGTGAGAGTGAGCACAAATTAACCAAGCAGAAGTTATTTAGGTCAGGCATTTAGAAGAATGTGTTGAGCATCAAGATTGGGCTTATCACTCAATAACTTTGTGTGGATTAGTAGAAAGTATATTGAAGCTAGGGTTCAATATTGTAAAAGGGTGGGAGAGGCGGAGAGAAGAGGTGGGAGCATGCCAGACTGGGCTCGTTTGTAATTTCCATAACATTGGACTCAGGGCATGAAACTGAATTGCATTTAGGAGAGGATTTTAAGCTTTCATCAAACATGATTCAGGAAAACCAGGATTTGTAGACTATGCAAATCTAGGGAGTGGTTACTTGCTTGCAAGAGAGTATCCGCCAGAATCTCAAAATAACATGTTCCCACAAAAGTGTTTGATTTAGAAAACTGTGACTTTTCTTATTTAACTTTTAAGGGATTGTCTTTATATGAAAAGACTAACACCATCCATTTATTACCAATTCACTGAATATACCTCTGGACTCCAAGAGGAAGGCCAAAGACAGTTTTAGTATAACCTAAAGACCTGCATGTCTTTCAACCCTTTAATTCTTTCACTTTCAATCACAAGAACTAGAAAACAATTCCAGGGTTAATTTCCATAATAACAGCTATTAGATTAAACTGTATGAAATTGCCATTTTTGTAGGTCAAAACAGTCAAATATCAGCAACTTCATAAAATTCAACCCAATACAGTAATTATCTTAGTACTTCCTCTGTATCTATCTTGATTTTCATTGAGGCTACAAATTTGTTTTTTAAGGTCAAAATATTGGTGGACAAATACGTGCTTGGGCACGTAAGTACTGAGAAAGTATAGGGTTGGGATTAAAGAGCATCTTGGATAAACAGCTTGTAGGTATCTAGCTCATTCTTTTATTGTACCAGACACTGGTGCCTCTTATCTAACATTAGGATTTTTCAGACTGTGAAAAATAAGAAAAGTGCAAAGACCCGATCTCTCAACCCGTGGGAAATTCTGTCTGGGAAATGAGCCAAAGGAAGAATAGGGCAAAAAAAAAAAAAAAAAAAAAAAAGTACCATGTTATAAGTTCAGTGGAGGAAGATCACAACAAAACTATGAGCAGAAAAACAAAGCATGTGGTTTCCTCTTTTCTAGAATATAGTATTGCTTAGTGTGTCCTGCTTTCAAGATTCTAAGCATAAGACAAGACATCAAGTACACATTGGAAAAGTCATATCTGCATAGTCATCTAAAATGAGACAAGCTTAGCTTAACTAAAAAGATTTTATTAACAATGTAAAATGTTAAATATTTTTACAATCTGAGCTAATTTCAGCATGCCCTATAAGATTTAACACTATGCTGATGTGCAAACATCATGCTTCAGATTTCAATTAGAAGAAAATGTGATATTATTCAATTTTACATTTGAGGGTAACTGTATATATTTCTACACCATTTCCTAGTTGGATTAGTTCATTCTCCATGAAGCCAAGAAAGACACCATTGGATCAAAAGGAAATTAGTTGTCCATATGCATCATGTGAAGGTATTAGGATTATTGTGTATTTACAAAATTTAAATACTTTTAATATATGGTTTTTGTTGGTTAATTAAAATATTCTGATGTTGAAGCTCTTAGATTCTGACAGAATGGAAGACTGAACATAAAGGAATGCAGAGAAACCAATAGATGAGGTGGTAAATGTTGGACTATTAATATTATTTCTAGTGATTCTGACAGATTGGATTTTAAATAGTTTTGCAGCTTTAATATATGATAAATTGTTAACATGAGCTCAGCAAGAGCTACAGATAGACTACTATACATGAAATAATTTTCCTCTGTATAATACATTAAAAAAACCCTTTAACTAATTTAAAAATCATAAGTCTTACATCTGTCATGGTATGGTTTAGAGCAGACATGCACATGTCAGCTTTAAAAATCCTTTTTAAAAACAGCCTGCTTTTTGAATCTTTTTTTTTTTCTTGACGCAGCTGCTTTCAAATGTAACATCATTTAAAAGGGCAGGAAGAGGTGATAAAAGTAATAAGGAAGCATAGAAAACATAGTCAGAAGCCAATAATTGTGTTTCAGCTGTTGGGAGTCCTCAGGTCCTGTGATTTGGCCAGGTCTTCCCAGTGGCAGGTGGTCAGGAGGAACCTCTTAGCTTGAAACCAGACAACACAGCCCAAAGAACCTTCTCTTCCGTCTTCTAACCAGGGGTAGGGGGGTTAGATTTAGAAGGCTGCTGTCATCTGTGATGGGATACAATGTATATATAAATGAATTACCACACAACAATTTTCTTTTGATGAAATAACTTAAAAAAATCATCTTTTGAATCAAGGATTCTTCACTTCAGCACATTTTACACCTGATATTTCTCTGTTGCTGGGGATTAGCCGTCGTAGCCAGTAGTACCCCCCAGCTAGTTGTGACAACCCAAAATGTTCTAGATATTTCCTGGGGACATCTGAGAACCAACCATGACTTTGAACATGATAGTTAAATTTTCTCAGTTGTAAAATAGGTCTTAATAAATACTTACCTTAGATGGGGCTGATTGAAATAATCCATGAGCTAATTTCAGTTGAGTGGGACCTAGGTATCTAGTGTAGAGGAAGCACTCCATAGAACTGTTCTTTACCTGCTTTTCTTAACATGGGACCATGGTTTGCCTTCATTTACTGGCTTTATGATTTGAAGAAATTTTAACTATTCTGCAATGAGTCCTTGCACTTTTTGTAGATTTCTGTATACATAGACATTCAGAGAAGATTACTGACTGTTAAATTCCTAAGTTTTGGCTTGGAATTTTCTTTTAATTAGAGGAAAATATAAGACAGCAAATCAAATCTAGTTTAATGAACTGGGTTTTAAAGAAATAGTCCAGAGGAGAGGATAGAGAGAAGCAGCCTGAGGGGAAGCAGAGGACATCAGTGTGGGTATCAGGGGCTAGAGAAAGATCACGCGAAAGAAATCTAAAGACTGGGCCCTCCCTGGTGGTGCAGCAGGTTAAAGCACAGCACTTCAAGTGAGCCACCTTCAGTGCGAGTTCCATCCCTGTCCCGAAGGTACACATGGTGCAGCAGATCTCTCCTGACCCGCCCGCTGCTCCCCTCAGCAGTGTACCTTGTCCATCTGCCTGTTCTGCTCCCCACTCTGTCTCTAGTGACTCCTCTCACTACCCCTGCACCTCTGGCCTGTACACAAGTTCTGTGTGCATAAATAAATAAAACTTAAAAAAAAAAATCTAAAGACTGCCAACTGGGGCAATTCATTCTGGAAACCCGCCATGGTCAGCCTGAAGCTTGAAGCAGCCATGTGGCTGGTTGCACAGGCAACTGCGAGGGACCTAAGCTCCGGGCCTGGGCTTAGGCCTATGCTGCCCTCCCAGAGAGGAGCTCAGGCACTCCCAGCTCTCCACATCTTAACCCTGAGGAGACAGGAAACTGGGCAAAAGCCCAGCTCAGGAGACAGATGAAGAGATCAACAGTAAAGTGCAGACGCTGCCCCAGCTCAGCAGAACCGGTTTGTACATGAATGTTAGTTTATTATTATTATTATTATTATTATTATTATTGAGCCCACAGATATTTGGGGAATTAGCAAAAAACAACTGAATCCTAGCTTCCCAATCATCTTCTATAACTTGTGTCATCCAAATGCTTAGGCTCTTCTCCCCTTTCCCTAAGGATTTTCTTCCATGTGTCAAGCTCCTTTGTAAATTAGTATCACCCACCAGGTTGGCAGTATTCCTTGGAATGTGCGCAAGGTTATACATTTAGATGGAACGAGAGCAGCGAGGGCTAGGGAAGGAAAACAGACGCCCCATTTGGAAAGATCAAATTAACCCACACTCTCTGAGTCTCCCCAGGTTTAGATCCTCTTTAAAAACTCATTCTGCTCTTTAAAAACTCATGCTGCTGAAAAACTAGACTTTGTCTTTTCCATAGTGAAAATAATTCACTGTAATCTAGATGTCAACATTTTGAGAGCTAAAAGTAGGACATCTCTCCTTTAGAGTTAAACTTGTCCCAACTAGCTGAGATATTGAAATCAATATCAGACACTGTAAATAAGCCTGATTGCTCAGGAGAATGTCTCAGAGATGAATCATGATATGTTCGTAGCTGAAAGACATGATAAGCTACTTTTCACTTTATATCCTTTTTAGGACTCTTCCTCTTTTAACTATTGACTGGCCAGTGAACTTAACCTAACTGGGTATGAAACCATTAAGAACTCTGAAGGGTAAATAATTTTAACTTTCAGTGTCTCTTTGGATACTGACTACAGTTCCTGAAACCCAAGTTCAACTGAAATTCAGTGCTTCCTTGGAAGAGAATCACCAAACTATGAAGCTATTTATAGGTATGAAAAATTTCTCTAAGATCTCCTGAATTCCATATATCCTTTCCTTTCCCCCAATTTTAAGAGAACTGGGGAGTGTCCTAACATGCACTTATATATCACAAAATGCAATCATGTGTGTTGTTTCCACTATGTGAGTAATATTTACTACAATGTTGTATTTGCAAAAAATAAATAAAATAAGGAAAGAAAGAAAAGTGTGCTTGTGTATGTTGCAGTTGTATGTTTGTTTGTTCCCATTCTCTCTCCTATGTGTTAAAAGCACACAGGTTTTTTTTTAAGATTTATTTATTTATGCATATAGAGCAGGGTACAAGCCAGAGGTGTAGGGGCGGTGAGAGGCTTCACCCAAAACAGAGTGGGGAGCAGAACAGGAAGATCAATGAAGTATACTGCTGAGGGGAGCAGCGGGCAGGTCAGGAGAGGTCTGCTGTGCCATTTGGGTCACCTCCAGGGCAGGCAGGAATCGAACTCACGCGGAAGTGGCTTTAGCTTCTTAGTGCTGTGCTTTAACCAGCTGCGCCACCAGGGAGGGTGTGGTATTGTTATTTTTTCATGGATTTTTTATTTTTTATTTTTTTTATACCTCATTCTT